CAATTTCGAGAGTTTCTTGACTCCATGCAATCTGAATACTCTGATTTACTGTACTACTCAAAAGTAAGGTGGCTTAGCGCGGGACGCGTCTTCGAGCGAGTCTGGCAGCTGAAAGACGAAATAGTGTCATTCTTCCAAGAGATACAGTGGTCTGTAGAATGTGAAATGCTGGAAGATACTGAATGGCTTTCGGACTTTGCATTTTTCACAGATCTTCTCTGCCACCTGAACAAGTTGAATGTCAAGATGGAAGGAAAAAATCAATTTATTGATGATATCTGAGGCCATATCAGAAGTTTTAAACTACAACTTGTTCTGTTTGCAGATCAGCTAGCTAAGAATGACTTGTCTCACTTCCCGAGGTTAAATTCAATAGCCCCAGTGATGAAGGACAAGCTTAGGAGCTACGAGGATAGCCTGAGAAGACTCCGTGGTGAATTTGAACAAAGATTTCAAGACTTCAGTGCCATTGAAAAAGACTTGGATGTTTTCAGTATGCCTTTTAATGTAGACTGTGAAACAGTGAAACCGGACTTGCAACTTGAATTAATTGGGTTGCAATGTAACACTCAACTCAAACAGTTGTTTCTCAATGTCCCAAAATTAGAGTTCTACAAGTCCTTGTCGAAATCCAGTTTCCCAAATCTGATATCTCATGCCCAGAAAGCCACTGCTATGTTTGCTTCGTCCTATATATGTGAACAGGTGTTTTCTACAAGGAAACTTTGAAAGAGTTGTATTAGAAACAGACTGACAGATGAGCATTTAACTTCACTTCTGAGAATCAGTGCATCCCAGTTCGAACCAGATTATGAGAAAATTTTGGAAATGCAGTCACAGTTTCATTCATCACATTCTCCTTCATAATCTTTCAATCATTAATAGGGCTTAGTATTACAAGAATTTTGTAAAATCTACCATTATTGTTTTTAATAAATTATATTGGCCCGCCTAAAGTTTTTTCTTTTTTCTTTGGCCCCCTCCTAAAAAAGTTTGCCCATCACTACCTTAGACTGTGCAGCTACGTTGACCAGCCCCCAGCAGATATTATCCAGTATGAATATATAGCGAAGTTGCTCAAGGAGATAATGAATTTGAATAAGAAACTAAGGGAAACAACAGACAGAATTTAAAGCCACAACCACAAAACTTAGTCTCAATGTGTACTGCAGCAAAATTAAGCGTACCCTGAGTCGCCGTATTCCAGCGCGGGTGATAAGCTGGCAGTCATACAGTTCGATACGCTGAAGATTGTGACATGAGATGAGATGCTCCAGAGAAGCATCAGTGATAAGCGGACAGTTGTCTAGCTCTAGAACTGTCAAATTCTCTGCTGCACAAGGGGACGTCCCCAGGTGGCGAATGCCTTCATCCGTAATGAGCTCACAGTGAGATAGACTCTGAAACAGAAAACATAACAGTTTCATCCTGTTGGCTTGTAGTATATCCTGGTCCCACAAATGGCCATTAAATTTGCACTGCAGATTACCAAAGTTCAGACTAGGTTAGTTTTTAATTTCATATATGGGATTGATATGTGGCCTCTCCCAAGGTATGAATGCAGACTGAGTATGTTTTGGAACAGAGCAGAGGATATTTGAGAATATCTGGACCAAAGAGAAAGGAAGTAACATAGGGCAAAAATTGTGTAATGATGAAATTTATGAACCGCACTCTACACATATTATCAGCATGATCACACTAAGGATGTGATGGGACACGTAGCATGCATGTTGAAGACTACAATGTTTATATTACATAACTTACATTGTGCACTGGCTAGGACCACAAAAAGTATTCCCTGTATATGGCATTTCACTACATGTGGGAATACTAGAACATGATTTCACCGTATCTGCACAGGATGCCTTACTACAACCATTATGAACAAAGTTATACAGGTAGTTTTGGCTGTTACATGTGATCAGCAGATGAAAATAATAAAATCATCCGACACTTCTTTAAATTATGTTTTTGAAACACACCTAATAAAATTCAACATCAAAACAACACAGAACTTATAATGGCAGAAATGAATAAAATATCTAATTTTTGACAAAAACATCTCATTGCTTAGCAGAAATCCTACAAGAAACTTCCTTGAATAAGAAAGGATAGGTATAAGTTTGATTTGTTTCATTCTGGTCCGTCACACTAACAATTACAAATATAAATCACTCAGTCCAATGTGCCCTGTAAGTTTTTTACTACATGAAAACTTAACACCCTTACATGTTTTGGTCTCTGTGGACCATCTTCAGAGGGCAAACATCACTACAAATAGGAAACCACCATTACATAAGTTGTTTAGACGTAAAGTACGTACACTTATATGCTACAATACATAGTACACAAAACTGAACATTTCACAAACACAGCACTTTCCTGGGAATGTAAAGTTTTTTATAAAATTGTATAAAACAGTGAAAACAGCACAGTAGCCATGAGCAAAGCCTGGACGATATAAAGAACCTCCACATCAAGACAGCCAGGTGGCACAATATCTGCCCCATATAAGAGGGAAGATGGGAGGACGAACACGAGCCTGTATGGTTTACGAATTTTAATTATTGACAATCCAAAAAAAATTTTAATTAGCATCAAGAAATTTTATACAATTTTATAAAAAACTTTACATTCCCAGGAAAGTGCTGTGTTTGTGAAATGTTCAGTTTTGTGTACTATGTATTGTAGCATATAAGTGTATGTACTTTACGTCTAAACAACTTACATGATGATGGTTTCCTATTTGTAGTGATGTTTGCCCTCTGAAGATGGTCCACAGAGACCGAAACATGTAAGGGTGTTAAGCTTTCATGTAGTAAAAAACTTACAGGTCACATTGGACGGAGTGATTTATATTTGTGATAGGTATAATATTTCCTTTCCCTGTTAATAAGAACATGAAGCAACCCTGTCTCCACTGACTCCACTTGCTACTGTGCACAAGAGTTTCACATCAGTTACCTATGTCAAGGATATAGTGACATACAGATGTGCATAATCTGATTAAAAGAAATAGTGTTTTCAACATAACCACCACTAACATGCAGTCTCTGACTAAAAGTTGGATATTATACTTTCTTCACATGTAAGATCTGAAGTTTTCATGGCAGCTTAAGTAAACAAATTCTTGAGCTCTCAACCTTGACAGCTGGTTAGAAATGACCAATATTTCAGGCTATCTCTGAGCCCTTCATCAGGATCAGATGTGACACTGGATCCATAACATCTTATCTATATACCAATCCACAGCCCATGATTAAAACTGCGAGTGAACCAAGGTGTGCGTGTTTAGAGGCACGTCAGCATCAATGGCTGAGGGCTAGTGAGCATAGTCATGGGTCTGGTTGGCATGGTTCTGATTTCAAAGTGGTGTATCTCATAGTGCTTTATCATAACAGTCACAAGGTACCAGGACAGATGGATCTGAAACACAAGATTGTGACACAACATATGCACGCAACATTTAGGCTTGATTTCTCCTATGTGGACCTAGAAGTCATAGGCATATACTGTGTTCCACGCAAGTGTAGCAATGTGCATGTCGGAAAGATGGGCACAATGACTCAGTCAAACTGTAAGGAACACATGACGCACATGTAGCTGGGCCAGCCAGAGAAATCAGTGGTGACAGAGCACAAACTTGCAGCAGGGCACAATAAAACTCCAGCTGCACCTCCATATTACAGGGTGAATCATATAGAACCGGCCCGAAGAATTTGCTAATAATTCCGCAAGTGATGCATATAACTGCTCACAATTATGATATAATAATCCGTGGGCCATGCTGAGTCGAATGGTGTGCGCATGATCCGGCAAGTGGCAGCCCTTATGCTGCAAGGTCAAGGACAATGCCGAAACATGTCTGCAGTGGGCAGGCGACAGTCATGGAGTACACTGATGAACAGAGAGTGTTTCTAACGCCTACCTGAAAACGGCGGACACTTTCAACACCTGCTCCGATCACGGCACACAATCCAAGATATGTGTAAATTACTTTAATGAACTGGAAGAGAGAGGCACAGGATAGAGAGGAATGGAGGGGCTTGATAAGGGAGGCCAAGGCCCGACACCGGGCTGTTGCGCCATAGAAGAAGAAGAAGAAGAAAAAGAAGAATTTACTTTAATATCTGTATGGTATATTTTATATTACACCTCATTTCGTCGGGCCGGTTCTATATGAATCACCCTGTAGATGACGCACCAGGATACACAGACCACTTGATACAGGAGACTGCTGAGCTCAGGCTGCAGCCCAGAAACTTTAACAAGGATGGGGAAGTGTTAATCTCAATTGGTCATGGTACACAGATACACCAATCCAGGCAAACCCATGACTGCCCACTAGCCCTCTCACTGGCTTGTGCTCAGTTTCAATTATGGACTATATGATAGCATACAGATGGGAAAGTTTTGATCCAATGTCATGGGCAATGACTCTGTTGTGAGACAGGATGACTGTACTGGTGAGGGCCAGCAGTAATTTACCCCAACTCGACCAAAATCATATAATTTCCTGATAATTGGTAAGGAGATGGTCCCTGAAATGTTGGCCATTTTTAATGAACTTTTGGCCTGAGAAGATTTTTACTTTCTTCAAAGCAACACAACTCTGAGTATTAACAATAAAATGTATGACCTTGTTTGGAGTGGTGCTAGACAGAAGTGATACAAGACAGTGATGACTCACCAGTTTCTCCAGTCGCGGGCATCCCATTGCCAAATGTATTAGTGTTGCATCTGTTATCAGCACACACTCTTCCAGATCCATCTTCTCCAGTAAGCGACAACTCTGCAGGTGCAAATCAGTGACAATGAGAACCGTTACTACAGAATACAGATATGGATTCCAGTCTCCAGCTGCAACGCTAAAAATTTAGGGTACTGGAATTTGGTGATACAGATGCTAAAAACATGATTCTAGGCTCCTTTTTTGCTTTGATGAGCCTGCATCAATAGAAGGATGAGAGAGAGAGGGAACTTCTGCACTGTGTGTTTCAAGGTATCTTTTCCACATCATTCATCTTCAGGAATTACTGAGCTGCAGCCTACTGGTTCAGTACTCAGTTTTTTATTTCAAAAGTTGCTAGAAAGCATGATTTTAGGAGTGCAAGCATAAATTATGTTATTGCAAGGAATGAGTATGTTGTGTGCAAGTGCACAGCTGTGAGACTACTTTCTAGACACGTACTTGTCTAATAACTTTGGTTGGCAATGTCATCTCATAAGTTTGGTGTAGTGATAGAGCAAGAGGAACACCATATATATCATATAGTACGCATGTTTATGTCTTCTTTTCTTTTAGTCCTCAATCAAACCGTTCTGTCTCAGACAACTAGGGTTTCTGATCAAACTATTTAACTTCAATTTTGGAAGGCTGTACTCTTGAAATTTTTATGTTTGGAATGTATTTTCTACTCCTCTTCTTTTTTAAACTCTGTTTATTGCAAGCAAACAAAAAGAAACTCCATGGCTCGAGTCTGCATGAGAACTATACCAACTGAGTGACTGCTGCTTGTCGGTGGAGTTAGTGCCAACTTTAGTAGATAGAGGGTGACACATGGTGAGCACAACGGATCCCCACAGTTGTTAATTTAGGGTTTCTAGACCATTGCTGCTATTTCCTTCAAATAGCTCATAAATTATCCTCATGAGGCTGAGTGGACTCCATTCCAGACCCACTACTTCTCAGAAAATCTGGTAGTGCCGGGAATCGAACCTGGACCTCTGGATCTGTAAGCAGGAACTCTGACCACTAGACCACAGAGGCGATCCTGTTTATTGCAAGATTTATAAAAAATCTAAAAATATGAAATTAAACTATATCAGTGACAGATTAGACCTACTTTGGAATTCTTATTTTATAGCTTAGAACTTGTGTGTAACAATTTACACAATATCATGGTTCTAAAAATTGTTGAAATATTTCGTTTGAGGAACTTGATGGATTTCTTCTGACATGTACAGTGTATAGTGAAATTTCATAATATACTCTCAGTTTTCCAACACTGTGATTTCTTGATAAAAGTCAAACCAACAGTCTTAACTGCTATAGATACACTACCATAGTCAATAAGTTCGTGGAATGGCCGCAAAGCATAGTATGGAATTTACTGCCAATATGTTTCAGCAATGTTTTTGACAGCTATATCAACGTTGGCAAACTTGCATAGCGGTCAACTGCAACTATTTTGAGGGCCGATGTGGATCTGTGTAAGTGTATGTGAATATCTTGTAATATGATGTGATAAATCCACATTCCACTAACTGAATGACTCTACCATGGATAATGGGACAGTCTACACAACAATAATTCTGAAAGAAATAAAAGAGACACTAGTGTGTCAACATTTGTTTTTATTAGCAGCTGGTGGTAACGCTACATGTTTCAACATGTTTCTTGGGTCATCTTCAGGTATACAAGAATACTGGTTCTAATTCTTGAATTGTGTCACTGATCAATATGAATTCATATTCTATTTGTATGAATGGGGCTATGCTACAAGCCGGAAGGTGGCACACTGAAGTCCCGATGAGGTCACTGGATTTTTTCAATTGACCTAATACTTCCAGCCGTATTATGGCAATGGGATTGACTCAGCCTCTAACAGAAATGAGTACCTGGAATTAATTAAATAATTTTCCTTGGGAGTAAAGCACGGCGGGCGCATAAGGCTGACAACCTTACCACCATCTTTGAGCCAACTGTCTGGATAATGTGGGACCCTCAACGTCTCACAACCCTATGGGCCTTCACGGCCTGGTACAGGGACAGCTTTACTTTTACTTTACTATGAATTTTTATACTAACAAATATATTGTCACGTGTTGGATATATGTCACGCGACAAATAACTTCACGCCCTCTTGGATATAGCAAATTTATTGAACACTCACTCTCACAATTACATAATTTACAATCTCACAAATACTGCCATCAGTAGTATCACAATTACTTCTCCTGCTTCCATTCACTCCGGCGAATGCTAGACTGCAACTGACTGGTTACTCTCTCTCTAGTAACTCTTACAAACCCTCAGTCAGACAGCGGAAAACGTGCCTCGCTTCCCTGTTGCGTAATCGCCATGTTTACAGGCGTTGCTGGGCAACGCTACCAAGAGTTATTTATTGCTGCATAGCAACCAGCGTGCTTCAGCGACTTCAGCTCACTTCGGCTCTACTCGGCATGGCAGTGAGAAACACCGCTTTCCTTACTGTTGCGTAACTTGGCAACCGACTGTTTGTCAAGGGTCTCTTCATGGTAACTCGTTCCACCTCCTGTTGCCCAGCAACAGTTAGACATGTCACACTGTTCCCTTCTTAAGTAACTTGGCAACCGACTGTTTGTCAAGGGTCTCTTCATGGTAACTCGTTCCACCTCCTGTTGCCCAGCAACAGTTAGACATGTCACACTGTTCCCTTCTTAAGGCTGTTCGTCCCGAATAGCCTAACAGTGCAGCGCCAGTCCTTTTCTTCCGATGCTATGCTTATAACGTTTTTCTTTTTTTTTTGGCTCGGTGTTTTCTTTCTTCATGTTGTCCGTTCCTCAACCGTTACATCCGCTCCCTTCTTAAGACCAGCTTGTCTCGAGCGGTTTCCTGTTAACTTATCAGGAGATCCAGTTGTATCACATTCGTCCCTCACATTCACCCATCGCACATTCACTCTCTCTGGGGAGGCCGGTACTCCTATATTACCAGTTCCTCCTCTGCTTGAAGTCTTTTTTTCCGTTTTGGAGGGGGTCGTCCCCTCCACAAGTTCCATTTCCTCATTTTAGATATCCTACCGGAAGTTCCTACCGCTCGCTTCATGGTTTCCAGCCCAATGGCCTTCCTGTAGCTCTTGTCTTTTGTCCTTTCTCTTCCAAGCCGTAGTTGCTCCTCAAAGTTTCAGTTCCTGGTCAGATTGTTGCCTGCCTGGTTCATCTGTTGTCTCCCTACATGTGACCATCCTTTCTGGGTTCCTCGTACCATGTTGTCCCTGGCACGAACTTTCCTGGCGGCATTATCCTTGCACCATGCCACTCCTGCACAGTGGGTCATCCTAGTTCTAGAAGCAACCAGTTCTCTCTGTGGGTGACACTTTTCCTGTATAAGGTACGACTTTATGATGTCTCTCTTGTGTCGTGCCACTGCTGCACGACGGGACATCTTCAGGTCTATTGGAGTTTTCCGTGCCACTTTCACACAGCGTGTTGTCCCTCTGCGGGCGACGGCCAATTTCTTCTGGGGTCCACAAATTTCCCGTGTCTTATCTTTCGGTTTCTGGCAGCAGCGCTCCGCGGCTAGTTTTCAGTCCCTACGCCATTTCTTCTTTGGTTCTCTGACCAGCATTACTTCGGCGTCTTTTATGGGGACCTCTCGTTCTGCTGCCTCAGGTTTCTTATCCACTGAGGTTAGCTCTTCTTCTTCCAGACATGCCTCTGTCATTTCTCGGCAGGCCATTGTCTCCAAGTCTCTTTCCAGTTTGGTTTCAGCCACCATCTCCTCGTGGCTGGTGTCCGTCTTTTCTAGCCTGGCGGCCATCATTTTCATCATTTCTTTTAGGTTTCTTCAATCGGCCTTCCTCTCTTCCCGGTCGATATCCCTATTGGCCTCCACTCTGTCTTGATAGGCTCTGACCATTTCATGCATCTGCACTCAGTCGGCATCTGCTTTTATTTGGTTGGCCTTCATCTCTTTCAGCATTTCCTCTTTGTCAGTCTTCCTATCAGTGTCTAATCTTACAAGGAAATCTTCTTTGTCAGCCTTTCTATCGGCCTCCATTTCTTCTTTGTGAGTCTTTCTATTGGCCTCCATTTCTTCCTTGTCGGTTTTTCTGTCGGTGTCCATTTTCTCCAGTAGGCGTTCAAACAATTTTTCCATCTCCATCATGTGGCAGTATAATTTGTTTCAATAGTTCGTCCTAAATTAAGGCATGTTTAAGTTCGTAAACAATTCTGACACCAATTTGTCATGTGTTGGGTGTATAAGACGACAAATAACTTCACGCCGTATTGAATATAGCGAATTTATTGAGCACTCGCTCTCACAATTACACAATTTACAATCTCACAACTACTGTCATTGGCAGTATCACAATTACTTCTCCTGCTCCCATTCACTCCGGCGAATACCAGACTGCAACTGACTGGTCACTCTCTCTCTAGTAACTCTTATAAACCCTCAGTCGGACAGCGGAAAATGTGCCTCACTTCCCTGTTGCATAATCCCCATGTTTACAGGTGTTGCTGGGCAACGCTACCAAGAGTTGTTTATTGCTGCTTAGCAACCAGCGTGCTTCAGCGGCTCCAGCTCACTTCAGCTCTACTCGGCATGGCAGTGAAAAACACCGCTTTCCTTACTGTTGTGTAACCTCATTTCCACTGTTGCGTAACTTGGCAAACGACTGTTTGTCTTCGTGGTAACTTGTTCCACCTCCCATTGCCAGCAACGGTTAGACATGTCACACAATTTTAATTTAATGTTGTTCAAATATAGTTAAAACTTGACATTAAAAGGATAAGAACTAGAACTAAAATTAAAATTAAAAGTAGAATTAAAATGGCGATTAAGATATTTAAAACCAATATTATAAGTCTTATTTAAGACTTCGTGACTGCTACATATGTGTTGCTGGTTGTTCCACTGTGGTAGTGAGAGTTGTGTTGTGGGGTAACTGCATGCTGGGATCTTAGAGAGATATGATGGGGTGGTATGGACCAGTGGAGGGCTCTTGTGAATATGGTACTGAACAATATTATATTTAGCATCCTGTTACACTCTACACACTGTATGACACAAACTCCGTCCTAAGTGCAACAATTTATTGTAATTCTTTTGTCTTCTTTTCTTCTACACTACACGTTTCGGCCATAAATGGACATCATCAGGTGTATTTCGCTCATGTAGCTGTTACACTGCATGTAGTTTAAAATTTAAAAACACCAGCTTTCTTAATTGTTCATTTCTCCGTTGTTAATAGGTCCCGATATATCAGAATTCCCTTGCTGCCATTTGTAAGATATGTATAAAATCTTTGTTAATTTACATATGTCAATTTGATTTTTTAATTTTGGTATTTTTAAAATCTTCAATTTAAATTTAAAAATTTTATAAATTTTAAAATTTAAAATTCACAGGGGTACCTGCTCTAGGTCTACAGTGCTGCAGCAACTACTTCTTGCTTTCAGCACCATTCAGGTATTATTCTGTGCAGGCTCCCTGTGTGCGTGCCACTGCTTATCTTTAATAAGTGTCTATTAGAAGAAAAGAAGACAAAAGAACTACAATAAATTGTTGCACTTAGGACGGAGTTTGTGTCATACATATGGTAATGAACCTTCAGGTTCCATAAGATGGTAGGAAGTTCTTGAATAGCTGCACAGTTCCTGGCTTCTCCAGAAAGCCTCAACTGATGGGGACAAAAAAGGAGGAACTCTGTGCCATAAAGAACCCTTCATTTCTGTGAACTGCAGATAATGATAATCTTAAATTAATTGTTATCAAGTGTTGGTAGTCAGTGTGGGCTCTCTTTGGAATTAACACCACTTCAGGTGGTAGCAACCCTGCTCAGGCAAGCTCCAGGCCCTCCTAGCTCCATGAGGTGGCGCATCATTAGGGTTACAGAAAATAGCAGTACCAGTACTGCTGTCAGGAGTGGCTGCAAACCCTTATGGGATAAGTTCTCAAAGGTCACAAAGGAAGAAGCAAAGAACATAAGTGGTGAAGTGAGCAGAGGAGGAAGCCCTCTTGATGGGGCAATACACTAAGGAATTGGGTCACAGAACTCGAAGATGGCAGTCTCATCCTGCAAGACACTGCTAGTATGTTCAGGAGAAACTGTGATACCATAAAAGAATTTACTGGAACAATTCCTTTAGTCTCAGGTCATTTGATCCCTGAATCGGCAGATGAAGAAGATTACGTATACGAAGGAGCCTAATGGTTGCAAGGCATCATGGAAAACGGCATTTGTTAGGAGTTGTGAGGGATCTGTGAGACATTTGCTAGGTGCTGGAAGGACAGGGAAGAGTATTACTCAATGCAAGTTCTACAAGAAAGCATTATCAACACATATAATGGGCCACAATGAAAAGATGGATGGGAGAGGTCTGTTCAGAAATGCAAATAAGAATTTCATATGTATTCCTTAAAAATTTCCACCACAAAAGCAAGGGAGGGGAGGTTCATCTTATGTACAAGGTATCTTACATGTGCTTATATTCAGCATTTTCTTCTTAATGATATTGTAAGTGATGATTCGCCATTCTGTTATGACCACCATCTCTTAAAACTGCTTGAACTCACCCTCGCAAGGGCCTGGAAGCCTGTGTCTGTGAACTGTGAGCAACCAGCCACCTCGATGGTGCTTAGCATGTGGCACTGCTGTGCAAGAACAATGAGTGATGCGTCTGTCAGATGAGAACAGCCTGACAGACAGAGATAGTGTAAGCGAGGGCAGTTTTCAGCAAGTTGCTGCACTGCTTCATCTTGGATATTCTGCAGCACACAATATATGTAGTTAGCATTAAATGTCACATACATTACTAAAATAATATGTCTCAATAACCACAAAAAAGAGGTGTCAGATTTATATGATATAATGACAAATCTTCCACACTGCCAGTGAGCTTCACGTGAGATAATAAGTTCAACACAGAAAACCATCCTAACAATATCTAAACCTTATATGACAAGCATGAAAAAATGTCTTAAGGATATGTGAAACTGAAATACATAACATTAATATATATAATGGATATCTAAACTTATGATAAATACCATTAAAAAGAATTTTTGGCATATGTGAACCTTCTACATAACTGTGTTAATTAAACACTTTTAAAGTAAACATTTGTCAGAAATTTTAGGTCCAAAATATTAGCGAATATCATTTTTCAGAATATAATTTTATACGTCACATTGTGGTTAGAAAAATTATAGATCCACAATATTAACAGAAAGATATGAATTGTGTCAGATAAAAGTAGAAATTCCATTTCGTCCTGCATAATTTATAACCAATATTCTGAATTATTGGAAGGTGCTATGGCATGGAAATGAATGTGGGGAAAAAACAAAAGTAATGAAAATTTCGAGACAACCAACCCCAGTCACAATAAAGATAGACCGAAAACAACTGGAGAATGTGAAATGTTTTAAATATTTGGGTAGCTTGTTAACAGATGATGGAAGGTGTACTAGTGAAATTAAATCCAGGATTGCCATGGCAAAAGCTGCATTTAGCAAGAAGAAGAATCTTTTTACCAGCAAATTGGACTTAAATTTGAGAAAGAAACTAGTGAAATGCTACATTTGGAGCACAGCTCTGTATGGGGCTGAAACATGGACACTTAGGGCAGTAGATGAGAAACATCTGGAAAGTTTCGAAATGTGGTGTTGGAGAAGGATGGAGATCAGTTGGACCGATTATGTGAGAAATGAAGAAGTGTTAATTAGAGTCAGTGAGCAGAGGAATATCCTACACAAAATAAGAAAACAGAAGGCTAATTGGATGGGTCATGTTTTACACAGAAACTGCTTTCTAAAAGAAGTTATTGAAGGAAAGATAGATGGGCGGATAGAAGTAACAAGAAGACGAGGAAGAAGACGTAAGAAGATTCTGGATGACCTTGGGGACAGAAGAGGACACTGTCATTTGAAGGAGAAAGCTCTAGATCGCATTAAGTGGAGGAATTGTTTTGGAAGAGACTGTGGACCTGTCATCTTGACAGATTACTGATGATGATGATGATTCTGAATTTGGCTGTGTAACTATGTAGGTCGTACCGAAAGTCATGAACAACTTTTTTTTGCATGCAACCTGGGAACAACAGATGAAAGAGAGTATGGTGGTAGGTGGAACCAGCTGTTGTGTTAACCTTGAGTGTCTTGTGACGTCAATAGCTTGCATCACATGACGAATATCACGCCTAACAAAATGGCCGACTACGATGTCGTTTTGCCAGCGTGCTGTCATTGAATTTCTTGCGAAAGAGGAAATCCCTGCTGCAGAAATTCACCAGAGACTTCAGGGTGCTTATGGAAGTGTGTGCATGGGTGCGAGCAGTGTTCGAAGATGGGTGAAACATTTTAAAGATGGGAACACCAGCATCGAAGATGAGCCTTGGCACGGTCGTCCTCAAACAGCCTCAACTGAACACAAGGAAAGAGTGGATGAGATCATTCAAGATGACAGGTGTGTGACTGTGTACACAATAGCCCGAAAACTTGGAATATTGCACAGTGCAGTACAGGAAATGATTGAAAGCTGGGGCTATAGGAAAGCGTGTGCTCGTTGGGTCCCGTGGTTATTGACTGAAGACCATAAAGGTCAGCGAAAAGCCATCACCTCATAACTGCTACAGAGATATCGACAGGAAGGCAATGATATTTTGCTCTATAGTGTGACAGGTGACAAAAGCTGGTTTCACCATTTTGAGCCTAAAATAAAATGGCAGATTATGGAATGGCACCATTTGCATTCTCCATCAAAAAAGAAGGCAAAGACAGTGCCATCAGCTGCAAAGGTGATGGGCACAGTCTTCTGGGATGCAGAGGGATTTATTTTATTCCTGGAACCTGGGCAAACCATCAACGCTGCTCGTTATGTCAGACGCTGCATAAGCTCCGTCATGCATTGCGCGATAAACGTCCAGGACAAAACATCGTCATCCTGCATAACAACGCTCACCCCCACGCCGCTCGCCTCACATTGGAAGCAACTGCAAAGATGGGGTGGGAAGTTCTTCCACACCCCTCCTATAGCCCTGATCTGGCACCCTCAGACTACCATCTTTTCGGATTTGTGAAGGATCAGCTGCTTGGGCAACGTTTTGAGACAAGGGAAGCAATTCGGAAAGCAGTGCATCAGTGTCTTCGGATGGCTGGAACAGAATTTTACAGAAGGGGAATTTTCAAACTCCCAGAACACTGGAAAAAATGTGTACAAAGAAGTGGTGATTATGTGGAAAAATAAAGAAAGGTCTGTAGATTGAGGCAGTGTATTTGGTTTGTCAACAATAAAGCATGTTACTTTACAAAAAATTGTTGCTCATGACTTTCAGTATGACCCTCGTAATATTTCTCCACATCTGACACACTTTCAAATTGCTACTTAATGCTGACAAGTTATCCTAAGACAATATGCACAATACATATTCCTTGATGATATTAAATAGAATAACTCATGCTGACAAGAGATTATTTTTATAACACCTTTTCCTCCTCAGTGAGCTGGGATAGTGTAGTCGGTATAGCGACTAGCTATGGGCTGGATGACCAAGAGGTTGGAGTTCAAGTCCCAGTAGGGTCAAGAATTTTCTCTTCTCCATGTCGTCCAGACCAGCTCTGGGGTCCACCCAACCTCCTATCCAATGGGTGCCGGGGTCTCTTTCCCCGAGGGTAAAGCGGCCGGGGCGTGAAGCTGACCACTCACCTCCAACTAGTGCCGATGTCAAGAAAATGTGGGTCTATACATCCATTCCCCATTATGCCTTCATGCTGTAGTGCTTAATTAGTTAAGCATACAGACAACTTTCCCTCTTCCTCTTCCACCTGCTTTCAATTCCGTATAGGTATCATCTACATTTACTGAGTGCGAATCAGACAGTCTCAACACAAGCAGAGAAACAACAGATGTCCAAAGGTATCAGCCACTCTTGGGAAGGAAGCAGGGTGGGGTGGATGTACAGACTGAAGTGCTACAAGACTGCTCAGTTGCATCACCAATGCAACTTTTTCATGCTCAGGCTGTTTGCAACTGATGAAATGAATGCTGACAAAGATGGGGCTTTTCTGCACTGCCAGGTTATCTTGGAGCTTTAGATTAGAAAAAGACAAGTAATGAAAATTGTACTGCAATATCAAACAATGTGTGACAATGTTCTTACCCAGCAGGCATGCTCAATTTGTTGTTCCACAGGGCTCTTGCTTAAAGTTTGACTGGCAGGGCCTATGGGACAATGACAGAGATACCAAAATCTGAGCATACACACGCAGGACAGTGGAGCATGTGGTCAATGGCACGTTACAACCAGCGCATAGCAACTACTTTATAGTTATGGAGGGACTCCTCACATGTGTAAAGGTCTTGTGGTCTACAAAAAGGCAGATAATAGCTTCATGCTTATATAAAAATTACAATAATGCGGTAAATCCTAAATATAACAGAATAATAGGGTAAGCAGGATGTCTGTTAAGGCCAATGTCCACTATGACTAAGTATACCACAGGATATACAGCCAATACATGTAGTAAATATAGAAATACAGTGTGATTACATAAAAGTTTTTATGCTCAGGTACTTTTTTATTTTAACTATTTTTATATTAAAATGGATCTTAAGAGAGATAGGATGGGATGGTATGGATTGGATTGAACTGGCTTGGGGTAGGGACCAGTGGAGGGCTCTTGTGAACATGGTAATGAACCTTTGAGTTCCATAAAATGCTGGGAAATTCTTGAGCAGCTGCAGAATTGGCGGCTCCTGCAGAAGGGCTCAGCTCCATGGGTAAGTAAGTAAAGTAAGTTATAATTACATAACCTACAAACTTTGCAGGTTGAAGCTGCTAACAGATCATCTCTTGCCCTGCCAGATTCTGTCCATTACATCCAGGTCTGTTATAATAAGCCCATATCTAAGCCCACAGTTCCAGCTTTCAAGAAATTTACTGAGACCAACAGAAAATATCTGAATATATTTAACCCAAAAGAAACTTACCGTGCATCCATGAAGATTGATGACTTCCAGGTCACTGCAGTTACGAGCTAAACAGCTCACAGCATTGTCATTAATCTGAAGACAACCTTTCGAAATGAATGACTTTAGGTTGCGACAGCCACGGGCCAGTGCCTCTGCACCTGAAAGCAACAAGTGACTGTATTGTACTGTACTGCACTGCACTGTTAACACTGGTTACCAGCATTGTCTTTGAAAGGTAATATGCACACTATTATTTAGTTCAAAAACTATTAATCATCCGATCATTTCTATTTTCTGTATTATGGCACCATGCAGCCTGCTAAAAGTCAACCATATCCCTGACAACACACCTCTTCATAACCATCACTGTGAGAACCCCTAATCCTACAGTCATCTGATGTTTTATTTCAAAAAACACTAAAGATCAAGATATAGAAAACAATACTTTTGTTTTGTACAGTTATGAATCATAGGAGTCTGGATGGCTCAGTCAGCATAGCAATGGAATAAGGGCTGGATAGTCCAGGGCTTGATTCCTGGCAGAGGAAAGATTTTTCTCTTCTCCACAGTGTCCAGACAAGCTCTGTGGCTCACCCAGCCTCCTACCCAACAGGCACAAGAGGCAGTTTCAACAGGGGCAAAGCGGCCAGGGCATGAAGCTGACCACACATTTCCATCTACTGCACAGGTAAAAAGTGGAGATGCACTTCCCCTTCCCCAGTTAATTAAGCACAGGGACAACTTTATCTCTTACTCTGAGGGAATAACATGAATATCAAAAAGTGTTTGAAAATAAAGTGCTCACAAAAATATCTTAAACCAACAAGGATGAAATACAGAATATTATATAATAAAGAGCTATTTGATTTACTTAAGTTATCCAGTATCTGTATCTGTATATTTATTTTAATTCCATTGATTCTTACTGGCTACCTAAGCCATCAGATATAGAATATATTACATATGCATACATTAGTTTTAAACACAGAACTAGTCACCTTACAGCTACATTCATAAAATAAACAATAATTACACACTATTCAGTAATTTAACAAGCACATAGGACTCATCAACTTGACAGTAACACCTTACTGAGATCATAGCTTAAATATATAAACAAACATCAGATTATAATCAATTTAGTTATACAATGTACTATATAAACAACATTATAAAAGGTTTAATTCCTCTTGAATTTAAAATATTCATCTAATGTATAAAAATGAATGGAAATGACAAAAAAATTTTCAAGGCTGATTTAAACTGTTTTGTATTATGGGACAAATCCTTTATTGGAACAGGTACTGTTAAACGTCTTCACAGCAGTATGTTTTCTGATGAACTGAAAAATGGTGGATGATGCAAATCAGATTTGGTCCTAGTATTAATATTATGTATCTCAGAATTTACTTTAAAATGATGTTTATTATTGATCACAAACAATTAAGTGAATATATATATATAT